ATTATGTGACTAAGTTTGAAGACTTGGTTAGATTCTGCCCTATGTATGATGGTGTGGGCAATGAGGAGGAAAAATGTGTGAAGTTTGTGAGTGGTCTTCGCCCTGAGATTAAACAAGTTTTCAATTATCAAGGGATCACTCACTATCATGAATTGGTAAACAAGTGCCGAGTATATGATGAGGACAACCGTGCTAGGGTAACTCATTATAAGAGTGGAGGACCCATGAGGAATAATAAGTTTGGTTCATCTAGTAAGAGTAAACCTTACACCAAGTCTGCTGGGGACTCGAGTTCTATGGTGAATAATCAAGGTTCTGTGCAACAAAGGAGCCAAGTTCCCACGGCTAGCCAAACTTCTAGAGGGGGAAGTGTGGGTTCTGTTCCACACAACAACTACTACAACTGTGGGAAGCCAGGTCATAGGGCATATGAATGTCCATTGCCCAGAGTAATAATGTGCTTCAAATGTCAAGAGAAGGGACACAGAGCTCATGATTGCCCCAAGAACAAGACAACAGAGGTTGGAGGGAGTGCTAGCAAACCTCGAGCGACAGGAAGGGTGTTTGCCTTGGGTGGTACTGAAGCTTCGCAATCCAAAGACTTAATCCAGGGTATGTGTTATCTCCCAACAGAAGATGCAATAGATATTATCTTGAATCAAAAGTAAAAGATTATCAAGCAAAGAACCATTTACTGTATGTCCCCAATTGATGTTTGTTCCATCATCAGTACAAATTCTCTTTTAAACAATCAATAAAAATTACACGACATTGTGTCTAAGAAAAAGAGTCCAAGTTCAAACTTCCAATAAGATCAGATAAGTTATCAATTTTTTTGGTGTACAATGGCAGCAATAGGATTTGACATTTTGAACATAAGACTTGATCCAAACTATTCAAACTTCTTACCACTAGGTCGACCTTAGTAGGTTTATATATGTAATTAGTCTATTACCATTATAACTCAATTTCAAGTCAGTAACTGAGCTACCATCTTACAATACATTCACAGCAGGCAACAAGACTGTTTCCCAAAAATTTGAATCCTGTGAAAACCTTTGGGTAGATATCAAATACTGAAACTAAATATAGCTGCGATATAACAAGAGATGGTAATATTTAACTAAATTATCCTCTATAGTACCATTAATATTTAACTAAATGTCACTATAATTTACACAAAAACAACACTTCACAAAGAGCTAGGCCATAAATGCCCAAAACTAACTCAAATATAGAAAAAGATAAGAGAAAAGGGTTTCAATAAATTGACATAGGAAAGTGAAATTAGGAGGAAAATGATGCAGAGAAAATCGGAGAAACGATAGATCGATGAAAAGCAACATAAAAGAGAAAAGGGTAACGGAAAAGAAAGAAAATCGCAGCGACTTATGGATTCGAAAGCGAGGAGATGGAGAAGCGTGGTGTTCTCGGAATGGAATGAAAGCCTAGTCGCAATCGATTCTCTCTCTCTCTCTCTTAGTCGCAGGTTTTCTTTCCTTCTCTGTTCGTCTTTTCGCGTTTTTCTTTTTTTTTATTCACTCACGTTTTTGCACATAGTTTACGGAATGAAGACCGCGCATAGCGCCTCTCCGAACGTCAAACTCGAATGGGAGAATGAACTAAGAAAGAAAACAAGGGTTGCCGGTGGTAGGGCTGTGGGTGGGGGATGAACCGAGAGAGAACAAAGTGAATGGCACGCATGTTGAGAGAGAACCCGCGCGAATTTGGGGTTCATATCTAAGTCGGTTTTAGAGAAAAAAACATCATAAATCACAAGGGTTATCCAATTCTACTACGGTTATAATGTGAACTGTCGTAAATTACATTACCTTTATTTACAAAATTGTCACCGCATCTTATTCTACATTGTTTTTTAAAAAATCGACTTAGATTGAGCGACTTAGATAGATCAGTTTGTAGTAGTGATTGAGGTTTACTAGATCAACAACCAATTGGATATCAATCCATAATAGAATAACTTGGTTTCTCGAATGTCACCATTTAAATAATGAATTTAGTACCAATGTTAGGATAGGATAGCTAGGTATGGGTCTACCACAAAACGAGCTAACTTAACCAAGTCTCTTATGGGACTAGTCCATTGGCTACCCACCAAACACTACACCCTTCCGATACTCGGTTACGAACTAAGCTATCGACTTTGTACTTTGCTCAATTGGTCACTTTATATATGTGTACCTCAACCTTATCCACACACGATACCAACTAAGGTTCTAGAGAAGACTCTTTTCAGGGTCAATTTCCTAAGAAGAATTTTCAACAAATTAAGCTCTCGGAGAACCACACCACAATATCCATACAATGAGATATGCAACTTTAAAATAATTTCTACTTTAGTCCTAAGTTGATCAACACAACTCAACAACACTATACCTAAATGCCTAAAACATTCTCAGCATTCATCATCTCAACAACACAACAACATCTTGCATATATCATATTTATTAGAGTTAGTTAGAGTGTAACAGAAAATATATAAATACTTGTAAAGTGTGTTCTGAATCAATTGAGGAAATGAAAAATGAATATTACACAAGTCTCATTTTCTTCTTCTCTGTTTTCTTCTAACATGGTATACAGAGCCTTTTCTTCTTGGGCCTGATTACTCAAGGAAGTTTCCGCCATGCTCGGTTCTTCACCGGTTACGTTTACGCACTCTTTATCAATTAAACTCGATGATAGCAATTTATTACTGTGGAATCAACAAGTTGAAGCGATTATCACAGCACACAAGTTGCATCGTTTCGTAGTGAATCCTTTAATTCTAGCAAAATTTGCTTCTGATGTGGATCGTGAACTTGATTTTGTTACTGATGCGTATCAACAATGGCTAGTTCAAGATCAGATGTTATTTTCGTGGTTGTTGTCGTCTCTTTCTAAATCTGTTCTTCCTCGTGTTCTTGGTTGTAAACATTCCTATGAAATTTGGGATAAAATTCATAAACACTATTACTCTCATCTTCATGAAGAAACGTCAACTCCGCTCCGAACTCAAGAGTTCGAAGAAAGGACCTTTTCAACCTATTTTTGAATATATCTTGCGAGTTAGAGCAATTATAAACTCACTAATTTTTGTAGGAGAATTAGTTACTGATCATGATCAAATTGATACAATACTTGATGGATTACCAGAGGATTACAATTCTTTTATTATGATGATCTATGGAAGATCAGATTCAATTTCTGTGACAAATGTTGAGTCACTTTTACTGGTTTAAGAAGCGCAACTTGAGAAGTATCGTCAAGATCTCACTTCTCCTTCTGTTTCAGTTAATGCTGTTCAAGGACCACAAGATTCTCACTTCCAATCTCAATCACAATTTGTTTCAAATCGAGGTGGATTTCAGTTTTCCAATCGTGGAGGACGTTATCGTGGAGGTCGTTATCGTGGTCGAGGTCGTAATCACGGTGGTGGTCAGAGACCTATGTGTCAATTATGTTACAAGTATGGTCACGATGCTTTTCATTGTTGGAACAGATTTGATGAAGCATTTATTTCAACCTCTAAATTTAAATCAGAGACAGGGACATGGATCTGCTCAACAACCACAAGCGTTTGTCACGAATCAAACACCTAAAGGTTCTTTTCAGCTTCAAGAATCACAACCATCAGATTCTCAAGCTTGGTACCCTGACTCAGGAGCTTCACATCATGTGACAACTGATCCACATAATTTGCTTCAAAGCAACACATATGTAGGTCTTGAGCAAGTTCACATTGGGAATGGACAAGGTTTATCTATCACCTTTGTTGGTTGTTCCAAGTTTGTGTCACCACAAAATTCACACATAACTCTTTCTCTCAATAACTTGTTACTTGTTCCATCAATTACTAAAAATCTTGTATCTGTATCTCAATTTGCTCGTGATAATGATGTCTTCTTTGAATTTCATTCAAATTGCTGCTTTGTGAAATCACAGGTGTCTAAAGAGGTTCTTCTCAAAGGCACAATTGGTAGTGATGGTCTTTACTGTTTCAAGGATATTCATCTTGTCAAAGATAGTTTGAGTCACTCTTCATCCAATTTTTCTATAAATAATGTTGTTGTTTCAAATGTTGATAACTCAAGTTCCTTTTGTACTTGGCATAATCGTCTTGGTCATGCTCATTCTAATGCTGTCAAAATAGTGTTGTCTCTGTGTAATACTGCATATAACAATAAATCAGTCTTTGATTTTTGTAATGCTTGTTGTTTGGGAAAAGAACACAGATTACATGCTCCCTCATCTCTTACCTCATATACTCATGCTTTTGATCTTGTTCACAGTGATCTTTGGGGACCAGCTCCATATGTTTCGTCTAATGGATACTCATACTATATAACGTTTATTGATGCTCAATCACGGTATACATGGATTTATTTTCTCAAGTCTAAATCTGATGCCTTAATTGCTTTTAAACTTTTATTAGCTATGGTTGAGACTCAATTTACTACCAAGGTAAAAGCTGTTCAGACTGATTGGGGAGGAGAATACAAACCTTTCTCCAATTTTCTTGCTAAAATGGGAATTAAACATAGGCTGACTTGCCCTCACACTTCACACCAAAATGGATCAGTTGAACGAAAACATAGGCAAATAGTTGAAATGGGATTAACATTGTTGGCTCATGCTTCTATTCCTTACACATATTGGGATCACAATTTCACTCAAGCTGTCTACTTGATAAATAGACTTCCAATTGCTGCCTTATCTACATTTAGCTCACCATATCATGCCTTCTATAATGCTATACCCAATTACAAGTTATTACGTACATTTGGTAGTGCTTGTTTTCCATTCCTTAGACCATATAATCATCATAAGCTTCAGTTCAAATCAGCTGAATGTGTTTACTTAGGCATGTCTCCTCAACACAAAGGTCACAAATGTCTAAGTCCTGATGGCCGTGTGAACATTTCAAAAGATGTTCTATTTAATGAATACAAATTTCCTTATCCCAATCTGTTTCCACCATTGTCGACATCATCACAATCTTTAACTTATTCCTTTTATCATTCCTATAATTACATCTCCTTGTACAAATACCCATCCTATGCAAACTCGTGCAAAATCTAGAATCTTTAAACCACGTGTCTTACTAACTCATGTTGAGCCTACAACAGTAAAACAAGCCTTGTCTAGCCCTCATTGGTTAGCTACCATGCAAAGTGAATATATTGCTCTCATGAATAATAATACATGGTCCTTGGTTGATCTTCCTCCTCATCGGCATACCGTTGGCTGTAAGTGGGTGTTTAGAATAAAAGAAAATGTTGATGGTAGTATTAACCGGTATAAAGCTCGCCTTGTTGCTAAAGGATTCCATCAACAACAAGGTCTTGATTTCACAGAGACGTTTTCACCGGTTATTAAACCTGTCACCATTCGTATTATCCTTACTTTGGCATTTTCACTGGTTATTAAACCTGTCACCATTCGTATTATCCTTACTTTGGCTATTACGAATCACTGGGATATTCAACAAATTGATGTGAATAATGTCTTTTTAAATGGTCATCTCACAGAAGACATTTATATGGAACAACCTCCCGATTTTGAAGTCTCAAACAAAAAGTTGGTGTGCAAGTTAAATAGGGCTCTTTATGGCCTTAAACAAGCACCACGTGCTTGGTATGAATGTCTTACCTCAACTTTGCAGCAGTTTGGATTTGTGCCCAGCAAGTGTGATCCCTCACTTTTTATCTACTGCAAGAATAATGTTTGCTTGTATGTCTTGATCTATGTTGATGACATTATCATTACAGGTTCCTCAAGTTCTCTAATTACTGATCTCATTCACAAGTTACATGTTTCTTTTGCTCTTAAGAAACTTGGAAACCTTGAGTATTTTCTGGGTATTGAAGTTAAGCATATGTCCTCTGGTGCTGTTCTTCTTTCTCAGTCAAAATACATCCGTGAGTTATTATCACGTACCAACATGCTTAAAGCAAAATGGATATCATCTCCTATGGTGAGTAATTTCAAGTTAAGCCGTTTTGGCACTGATACAGTTTCAGATGGACAGTTTTTTCGTTCCATTGTTGGTGCGCTGCAGTATGCAATAGTGACTCGTCCCGAAATCGCTTATAGTGTTAACAAGGTGTGCCAATTCATGAGTAATCCTCTTGACAGTCATTGGCGAGCTGTTAAACGAACTCTTCGCTATCTCAAAGGCACTATTAACTATGGTTTACTTTTTCAACCAGCAACTTCTAGCACCAAATACTCTTTAGAAGCTTTTTGTGATGCAGATTGGGCAAGTGATCCGGATGATCGCAGGTCAACTTCTAGATTTTGTGTTTTCTTTGGTCCCAATTTAGTTTCTTGGAGCTCTAAAAAGCAATCTCTTGTTGCTCGTTCTAGCACTGAAGCTGAGTATCGAAGTATGGCTCATGCTACTATTGAAATCATATGGATTCAATCCTTGTTAAAGGAACTTGGCATTGTTTCTGACACTCCAACTCTGTACTTTGATAATCTTGGTGTTGTTGCTTTGTCTCACAATCCGGTGCTGCACTCTCGCACTAAACACATGGAACTTGACATACATTTTGTTCGAGAGAAAGTTGTTTAAAAAATTTGATTGTTCAACATGTTCCAGCTTTTGCTCAAGTAGCAGATATATTAACAAAACCTTTGTCATCCACTTTCTTTTGTAATCTTCGAG